TAGAATGCCGCTTTACGCGCTTGTGGTATCAAGGGTTCTTCGCGTCTTTCGAAGTTTTCTCTTCTTCAACTTCAGTCAATATCGCACGTGGCGGTTCGGAGCTGATCACGCGGTCGAGACGCATTATTTTGCGTTTCGTAACAACAGGTGACCGTCGCCTGTAGCACATAAAGAAGAAGGCCAATCGACGCAATGCTTGGAGTAATGTGAGAGATGAGTTCCGAGGACGGACGAAAGAGGGTACGTATTCAGAGTGCTCTGTACTCCCTGAGGACTCGAGGCAAACAGTGTACGGAGATGCTGGGGCTTTGCGCAGGGTTCATATTAGGGCCGTTTATCTTCAAACCAGGAACCCCTAGCAAGTTGCGATAGCGTTTATCGAATGGCGATCCATAAACAATTGGGGACCTGGAGCAGTCAACGCGGTCTTGGCTACGAGAGTGAGTAGTAACCTGGCAGAAAGGCCGATCGGTCAACCAAGACTCGAGAGCAGACTGAATCCTCCTCTCAACGCAGTCGTCCGCGAGATGCAGAATCATGACACCAGACAGCAAGCCAAGACCGAGATGACGACTGGTGGTGGTGGTTGCTGAGGTGTACAGCGGTAGGAGCTTGAAGCGAACACAGACTGATTGAGAGTTCAGCAAGCACCCTTCGAGTTCCATTGACTTTTCGGACCTTCAACAAGGCTCGACCAGATCTGGGGGTTGGTAAAGTCTATCGGGATTCGGGGTGGCTCTTGTCACTTGGGCCAGTACAAGCGAGAGCGACAACGAAAAGTCTAGTCCGTAGTCGAGAATCCTCAGCCGAATAACCACTGACAAGGATGTGGCGTCCGGGTGCTAGACTGTTCCTGGCGGTGACAAGATGATGGACGATGCAAGGCGTTCTTAGTAGACGCTCGAGTATCTGTACTGTCGTCGCGCGTATTGCCATAGCGAACCTGGGAGGGTTTCAAGGTGATGCTTTCGACGCAAATGCCGCTGTGGTGAAAACCGGTGCTTCACCGATCTTTCCTCTGCTTTCCAGCGAAACCATGGCATCTGATAGATTGATGTGACACGATCGCTCCTCGTAAACTGCCTGACCAGTAACTTTGCTTCATCTTGCTTCGTGTACCTGTTGCTGTACATACTTGGTCAGGCACCACGTGAATCGAGGTGCTTGATAGACAACCACACAAGCATCCTCAAGGCGAGGGCGTCATATTGTGCCGGGTCTGCCGAGCGTTTGGTGTGCTGAGTGATCGGAAGAGGCCCTCCTGTTTTCGCGCCGTAGCAGCCGACGAGCAGGATGCCAGTCGGCCCTGTCGGCCCTTTGGGGCGCTGTTATTATCGGAGAGACTCCGTCGCTTCGACCACTGACCATCGAGGTCCCGACACCACAGCGGGCCTAGGGGATCGCTCACCGTATTCGATCTGCTGTCTGCTGGGTCTCGAGTGCCCAGTGACGGTGTGGCTGCCCCTCCGGTCTGAACAGCGCTCCGAGGAAGAGCCCTGACAGGCCCACTAGGCCACCTGGAGGATTGCGGCTGGTTGGACGGATTGGGTCTCTCTTGGATTGAAGGGTTGCGTGTGGGTGATAGTAACAATGGGCGGAATCGCGGATTCGGGGTGGTGGAGGTGGAGGAGCCTAGGAGGAAGAGGGAGGGCAGAACTGGAGGAGCCCGTCGAATGGATAGCTTGGAACAATGGAGAATGGCAGAAGAAGAGGGCCTTTGGTCACCTAACGTTCTGGGATCTTCCCATGACTGTAGGTATGACAGAGGGGGTGGAGGGGAGCGTGGACCCCTTCGCCTGCCGTCTGATTCTTGTTTCTCGTTGTTTCCTGCTTTCGCGATAGCAAGTATTCGTTAGTGTGCGATACGCAAGCCCGAGATATTTCCATTCCTTGCCTCCTCTTTCCTTCTCTCGAGTCTCACGCAAACATTGGAAGGAAGCCAATCTTTCTTACCTCAGCAGGCTCAGCCGTCATCTCGAACCGCACGAACCGCCATACCGCTGCTGTGTACGTACCGTGTCTGAGGCATGCACTCCGTACCTACTGAACCTCCATTGTATCGGCGTACCACTGTGCCCTGTGTAAAGTTGGTCAAGTAAATCTAGCTGAATCTTTAGTTAATGATCACGACTCACTGGCAGCCTCCGAACGAGATATCTCGACGGCGTGAAACCCTGAGCTTACGTTGTTTTTTAATGCATTCGACCAGTAGCAAACTGTAATTATATGTTTGGCTACATTTCATGGCTACTACATAACCAAGGTGTCTGCCTCAGTACTTGCTTCGCACTCATCTTCGTCAGCTGGAGGCTTTCGAAATGCGCCTCTGAGACATGAACTGACAGGCAGGGCATTTTTCGACATCCAAATCCATGTGGAAAGCGCAGCCGCAGCCGCAATCGCACTTGTCCGCAGCCTCTGACTGCGGTGCGGCCTAGGGACCCAGGGGCAATGGCAATGTCAACCAGGGTCGGCCAAGACAAGACATTGTCAGGTTGACGGATTCCGCTCCTCCACCTCCGCATGTGCTCCAGTTGTTTCTCTGATCCTGGAATGAGTAAGACGAAACATTGCGTTGGTAGATGACAATGAGTCTAAGGCGGTGGAAGGCGTCAATGGTAATGGTCAGTCACAGCCAAGGGAAAGCCAAGGACAACAAATGACCACATCGTTAGTCTTGCAGTGTAGATTCAGGTAAGGCCACTGAGGTAAGAAGATCCAAATGAAAACGGAGACCGTCCTCCAAGATGCCTCGGCAGGACTAGGTCATATTGTAATGTCATTCTGTTGATCCATTCGTTGGGTCTAGTCCCCATAATCCATTTGGTGGATAGATATCCGTACACGGATAGAAACACGGGAATACGGATATTGTGCGGGTCAGGGTCACGATATGGGCTCCTCCCCCCTTCCCCCAGGAGTCCACGACCCAAAGGAAGCAAAGAACCCATCCGTGCCATCGTCATTATCGGGTTCGGCATGGATGTGCAGAGTGGGTTGCATATGCGGATGCCGTTATGTGTAGCGCGTGCTGTGGATTCGAGTACCTGGAGCGGATGCGGCCAATGCTTTCGCGCTGGATTCGCCGCCTCAGCCCTCAACTCCCAGATAACTGATGAATTGCCGCACCGTCGTTGGCTGGGTAAGATGTGAGGGGACCGGCGGCGGAGGTTAGTGAGGCACACGACAAGAGAAATACACGGAGAGAAAACCAGCAAGACAGAAGGCCTAGATGGGCTCCTGCGGCGCTACGCAGATACGCGAGGGCAAACTCATTCCGCATTTCCTTTTCTCTAGAGACCAAGCCATAGGCGGTTCCAGAGAAAAGCAGGGACGAGGAAGGGAACCACTTGGACCAGTCCTGTTGAGTGAAAAGGTGGTTCTCCCGCACAGAAGCCAGCCAAGCAAATATCGCATCATTCACCCCACACAACCTCCAGCGGTGTCTCATTCGTCCGTCTGTGAAGGAACGAGTCGGAGTTGGAACCCCCATGCTCCTGTTCCAAGGACCCCCGTTCACGCCCTCTGATCTTGTCTCGCCTGTCAACCCCGTGGTGGTGCTGGCGTTGTGCTGTACTGTGCTGTATCAATTGGGATTGATCATTGACTGTAGTCACGACACACGTTGGGGCCGGCGGCGCATCCACGAATACGCCCCCCCTCATCCGTACTCTGTACCCGCAGCAAGCCCAGCAGTTCAGGGCACTTCAGGCTCGCAGGCCGTAGGCGGCACATGAGAGGATACTGCTCTGAATTGGTACCCGTACGCTGGCAATACCTATGGTATTTACTGTGGAATAAGACATGGATGGTCAAGAATGAAGCTGCCAGCCTGCTTGTGTTGCTCGCCAATGCTTGTCAGTCAGTGACGAGCGCCACGCCGCCAGTGCCAATAATACACACAAGGCACTACGTGAATGCTAATGCCAACACCGACGCTTGTTTGTCATGACAGTTGCTGTTACAGATACATGTCCAGTGTGTACGTACTAGATTGGCTAAGACGATGTCTCCTAGGAAGTCTTCTGGGAGACATTGGTGTTTCTTTGGTCTCCGTACGGTCTCCGTACCCGCTCATGTTGATCGTTGCTTGTCATGGTTGGCAATTTGACACCGTCGGCTTGTCGAGCAGAAAAAAACACGTAGTTGGACATTTCTTCATGTTCCATTGGGGCTTCTTTCCGGGTTCCACGACCCGCGGTTTCGGGCGATTCTTGTTCGCCCTGGTGGCCACTTCATGGTTGTGTTCCTGGCAGGATCCGCGGTCTCTGAATTCAATCACTTTTCTTCTCGGCCAGGTCCGGACCACGAGGTGGTGAAGCCTTGGCTTTGGGCGAATGGCAGAGGAGGGAGTATTGCATACTGCTTAAGGACTGCATGGTGCGAAGTCGCAGGGTGATGCTCCAGTCTTGTGCAGCAGCCGATGATAGGCACAGAATGCCGTCCCGTCTGATGTGCTTTGGTACGCGGGTTGAGGTGCAGTGCGAGCTAGACGCACAGAGCACCAGACCAAAAATGGAGGGGTGGACAGGATCCGGATGGCAGGGTAGGGCAGGGCTCGTCGGTGTTGGCCCTTGGGTGACAAGGGCCGATGAGGGACCGTAGCCTGTACTTTGTACTGTGCAGGTGAACCGTGAGCTTAGGTTTGAGAAGCATGGGAGAGAGAGAGACTGATGAGGTAAACCGGGACTGAGCAGTGAGAGTGAGAGTGAGAGAGTGGTGAGAGTGAGCGAGCCAGGTGGGTGAGAATTTGTGAGATGAGGGTGTCTTGTCAGTCGGGTGGGTCCCTCAGATGGGTGCATGGAAGCCCCAAGTGCCCCCAGAGAAACGGTCCCCACTCGAGGGCGTTCTCCGGTCCCATCCCATCATTCATGCTGTGTATGGAGTACCGGGTACGGAGTATCTGTAGACAAACGTGAGGTAAGGTAGAGATTACTGCGTAGTGCGTACGGATACTGAGTGACAATTTGTTGCTGGTAACGCTTCGTGCTCTTTTGTGTCTATGGTCGTTTCTTGGCTGCGCACCGTCTTGGCCGCAACCTTCGCGAATACGGCTTGCTGAATGGACGTGGGATATTGGACACTGGCGTAGTCTGGGCTTGGCTAGAACTTGTGGACAGAAACTGCTGCGTAGTTTGTATTATTGTTGCTTCCGTTGACGCTTGTCGAGAGGATGGAGGATGCCAAGCGTTGCTCTTCATTTTGCTGCATCGCCCAGAATGCCGTCGATGAGATTAACGCAGTGGCATGTGTGTACATAGTACGGAGCATGTATTCCAGAGGAAGCAGTGTAGATGTGAGGGAAAGGTATCCGTACTTGCCTTGGCTTCCATCTTTCATGTAAAAGGTAAGGTAGGGACTTACTTTTTTGTTGGTTGCTCTTGCCTGCCTCCCTTTTGCCTGCGTGCACTTGCCGTTTTTGTTTCTGTTTTCCAAGAAGGCCTCAGGAGGAAGGAAAGCATACCGCCACCAGAACTCCTCCGTCCCATTGGATGCCATTTTCTAATTGCTGTGAGTGTATCGGAGTATCCCTTCTCAGTCTCACCACCAAAGGATCCAGTACCTACCGTCTAAGGTATTGTGATTATCCGTACATCGTCTCTTCGAGGTTCTCAACCGGGGCTGGCCGCAGAGTGGTGAGCGAGTGCCAGAAAACAACAAAAGTAAAAGATACATGGCGTTTCTTCCACCCGCGCTTTCGTACCCCGTACCTGACTGACCTTGACCTGTCTGCACCTGCACATCTGCAACTGTAACTGCAGACCCTCCACTCTCACTTTCTTCCCCCGGTCCACAGTCCCTAGTCCTCCAACTTGGTGCACCCAACTTTTTCCCCCATCCACTTTCATACAGTACAATCTTCCACTCCCACACCCGGCCGAGGCGGAAAATAGCTCTCTCTCTCTTGAGCGTCTTTTTTTCTCCCTCTTTCCAACTCCCACGCCCCTCTAAGCGCAGCGGCGGGGTCCTTCTTCGAGCTTGTCTTCATCCAAATCGAGAACCCGTTCCCTCCCCCCCTACTACCGCGACTTATCTTCCCCTGCGAGACGATTCAAAACTCGCAGCCTTCCCACCTCCCAAGACCAGGACGGAATAAGGATGGACGCCTGAATTATTTTCATGCCCTCTTCTCCTCTCTTTCTACTCTTCCTCTGACCTAATCCTCGACTAATATCCATCCCAAACACCTCAAACTTTTACCTCATCACGGTCGTCTACCTTGGTCAATACCAAGACAACATTCACCAAGGAAAAAGACATCGATCGGCAATTCACTTTGCTTTTCTACATATACCTCCTCTGGCACCTGCAGTCTTCTACAAACCAAACGCAAGTCACTCTGATACCAAGACGAATTCCTTCGACAAGGACCTGGACCCGACTTTCACCTTGCCTGCCTCTCCCAACACCTTACACCAAGAACCGCATACGCTCGCGTGCGCAGACACGTACAGCTTCCCGTTCGACAAGGACGTATACACGGATCACAGAGCCAGTCTAGCTATTCTGATTTTGCAGTCGCGTCTGTACTCGAAAAAGCCTCGTCGTGGTTCTGATTCGACACAGAAATCCACCAACGCCGGACAACATCCCGACGCAGAATAAACGCATGCAGCAGCCTCAAGCAATGGGATAAAGACCAAGAAACCCCAACTCTCTTGTTTTCCCTTTCCTTTGCGTCTTCGGATTTTGGCCTACAAGCCTCCCGATTTCTCCTACAATAAACCCACCTCGCCAGCTTTGGACTCGACTTATCGCTTAGTTCGACTTTCACGTTGGTGCTTCAGGACCGATAATTGGGGGACACACTACTCGCACGTCGCCCAACCAAACCCCCCCTCCATTCGTCAAGGCCCAGGCCAAAGAATTGGAGACCCCTCGGAAACGCCGCGGACTATACTACCTACCGACTTGGCCCTCCCAGAAACCAACTGGTACCGATACCAGCACCAGCACCAAGCGTTCTCTGTCGGTGGTGTGTGGCCCAATTACGTATTGGCCCATCCTTGATCAGAGCACCCTCCTCCGCTGTTGTCCTTGTGCCCACCGGCCACACTCCGAACAGCGATGGCGACCGTCCTCACCAGCACCAGCATGGCGGTGCCCCAGCCCACTCCCATCCCCCAAGGTACGTTCACACACGTCTGATGGTCATTGCACCCTGGCTGCACCTCCGTCATTCAGCAGCTGTTTCCAACCCGCCCTGTTTCCGTCCGCAGCACCCTTGAAGGCGTCCGTCGCTAATAAACGCTTGCGATTCTAGACAAGCAACATTCCGCCGAGCAACAAAACTCGAGTAGCCTGTCCTCGTCTCCCCGTCAATTTCCTACCGATCTTACTTCTCCCATCCTCGAAGAAGCCGATGAGTCCGAAAGCGAGTCTCCGAATGAACCTGTGACCCCCATCAGCAGTGGGAGACAATCCCAAGAGTTTACCACCCGCCCTAGTCAGGACCATCACGACATCAATCTCACCGCTGCCCACCAGGTGCAGACCACTCCGAAGCCTCTCTTGGTTGACACCGCACCCACACCTTCGGTTTCGCCTGCAAAGTCAGACCTCACACCGAAAGCTACCACTGCTATTAACCCTTCAACTGCAGCCGAATCTGCTGCTGACCAAGAACCGCCACCAACTCCGCTGTCAAGACGGCCCACTCGCGGCTCGACTTCAAGCTTTAAGCGGACAATGTCCAGCATCTTTCGACGATCCAACTCATCCCAAAACAGACCAGATCTCGGATTTACCTTGGACCAGTCCAACGACGTCTCCTCCGAGAGTGCATTGATTGACACAGCACCCTCAAATCGTAGACGATTCTCAATGAACAAGTCACACACTACCACGAGGTCTAACTCACCTCCGTCTCCAGGTTCTCCTGTAGACACCATTTCTTCCTACAAGCAGTCTTCGCACATGCCTACTCAAGATGACTTCAAGAAGAAGAACAGGGCTTCCACCGGCCTTAACCTACGAGGACGCGCTGTCAACTTCGTCGGCGCCAATGTTTCCGGACGGGAAAAGCACGCCGAAAAGGTCAAGCCTGTCTTGGGCAGAAGACGAGCCAGCAGTTTCGAGGGCCGCGTGAAGAGCCGTCATCTAGCGTCCGCACCCAATCCTCACTCAGATAACCCTGTTCTTCCCTTGGAGGGATCGTCTCCATGGGCTCAGATGCCTGACGCTGGTGTTGGAGTCAAGGCTCGACGCATGAGCTTGAGTCTCCCGGACGACTTCCAAGTCGACGTCGCCGACCTCCTTGCGGAATTTGAGTACCTATCCAAGTTTGGCCGCCATGGCAAACATCTCGGAAAGGGTGCCACTTCCAAGGTCACTATGATGAGCCGAAAGGGGTGCCCTAATGAGCTCTATGCGGTCAAGGAGTTCAGAGCCAAGAGAAAGCAAGAGACGCAAGAAGAATACGAGAAGAAGATCAAGTCTGAGTACAGCATCGCCAAGAGCTTGCACCACCCCAACGTTGTCGAGACGATCCGGCTTTGCACCGATCACGGTCGTTGGAACCACATTATGGAGTATTGCTCGGAGGGTGATCTCTTTGGATTGATTGCAAAGAAGTACCTCCAAGATCCAGCGAGACTTCCTGATCGCCTCTGCCTGTTCAAGCAACTTGTCCAGGGAATCAACTATCTTCACAGCAACGGTATTGCTCACCGTGACATCAAACTCGAGAACCTTCTCATCACCAAAGACAGCAAGCTCAAGATCACCGACTTTGGTGTCTCAGAAGTCTTCACTGGCCACCACCCCGGCTTCAGAGAAGCTGGCGGCCAGTGTGGCAAGGGCATGTGCGCCGAAATCCGTCTGTGCAAGCCTGGCATGTGTGGCAGCGAGCCGTACACGGCACCTGAGGTGCTTCTGAAGGAGACCGAGTATGACCCGCGAGGTCTCGATGTGTGGAGCGCGGCGATTGTCATGATTTACGTGACTTTCGGAGGAAATATCTGGAGCAAGGCCGAGGTTAAGGGAAACCCTCAATACGCTGAGCTGCTCAAGGGATGGCAGAAGTGGGAAGTCAAGCACCCTGAGCCTGGATCGCGCATTACCGAGTCGGACTACCCATTCTTCAATGCCTTTGATGGATTCGTCTCCCCGCCAGCACTTCGTCGTGTGCTCCTCTCAATGCTCAACCCCAACCCCGCAAAGCGCGCAACCATCTCGGAAATCGCCAACCATCGTTGGGTCAAGAACATTGAGTGCTGCCAGCTTGAGAACTACGACGACCCAGCTCTTCTCATTGACGCTACCAAGAAGGGCAGTGCACAGCTCAACACCAAGAGGGTGTTTTGCCACAACCATCTGCCACTGGAGAGCCATGGCCACTCACTTGGAAAGATGCCAGGCCAGTCGGGTTATTGACTGCACCCGGACACGACTGTACGACTCATTACGTGTTTGTTTTTCTGCATAGCTGCGGTTCTATCCTTTGGAATCGGTTCCAGCATATGAGCATGCAGAAAGACATTTTTTTTTTTACAACTTTTACAATTGGCGTTCACAAAGGCTCCAGGAAAAGGGCCCAATAAGGCGTGGAAAGGATCGGCCTTGATTTGTGTTTGAATACAGCCCATAATTACCTGGGAAAAGCAACATCGGCTATGATATGCCGTGTTGCGAGTTTACAAAGATGCCTGTGTGTGTGTGTGCATGCACACCAGAAACAAGAACGGCCATCTCTGGCTCTAGAAGAGGCCCAGGGGTGGTGCATCGACGTACATAATCAAATTACCTTCTTTGATACTATGCGCGCGCCAGACACAAGCGAAGTTCAATGGTGATGTGCGCCCGCGTAGTGCAGGGAACGGGACTACAAGGGATTGGCGGACCACGTCCCGAGGGGAGGCACAATGAACCAGAGAAATGGGGAGGATACGTTCTTTGACAGTCGGTCACGGGATAGATCAAAAGCACTCCTAGAAAGAAGCTCCTTGCAGTTTACAATGCAAACAAAAGTTAACTTGAATGTGTGGTATACCTACTCTTGCGTGCGTGAAATCGGAGGAACTCGTGTCTACGAGACCCAAGACTCTCTAGCTTTCATTGAAGGATTCGCCAAGTTTGTCTCGATACGACCTGGAGGAGGGGGGGAGAGGATGGGATCAAACTCGGACGAACTTCCAATGCCTCCCCCCGCAGATGCGCAATGTCTCTAGAAATACGGAGTACCTCGAAGCATAACCATCTTACTTCTTCCTGACGTACTTGACCTCATCCTCCCCCCTTCATCCCCAGCGGCGCAGACAACCAACAGCGGCAGCCAATGTCGCGGGAGGAGTAAACTCGGAAGCTAGGCTGGGCAAGGGAGAAAGGTCAGCAGCAGCAGCAGCAGCAGCAGGCTCAGCTGAGGAAGAGGCGGAGAGGGGTGAATGAAACGGTACCCAGCGCAAGGAAACACAACAACCCGAGCACAACGTTTTCTTCTCTTGCAACGTCCGTCACCACCGTCACCGATCCGTTGCCAAGCTGCTGGAATCAGCCGAGCTGGGAAAACATGTTGTATGCGGATGTGTATGCGATCCAATCAGCCGGCTGGCGGATCCAATGGATCTTGATTTTCCCCGCCTTTTCTCGATATCCTCGTCCCTTTTAGAGTCTACTGTGTAGGTACGATGAGCTGCCCGGATGACTGGAAGTACTGTACCGTCATCTCTTAGCCTAGGTCGCCGCGGAAAGCCTGTTTGGGAATCCTGGGACGGGCGACGACGACCCGACCCCTCGGCAAGTGATTGCTGCTAACCTGCGGGCTGCTAGGGGGAATGAAAATGGGCGACTGGCTGACTGAAGTAGAGCTACGTTACGACCAGCCGATGGCCGACAAAGCCCGTCAGCCCAGCCCTGTGTGCATCCCACGTCTCAGGTTTCCAGTCTCACAGCTAGCAAGAGTGATTCGACGGCGTCTCTTCCCGCGGTATTCTCTCGTTGGATGGAGGGTTTTCCGTGTGTCTGGTTTGTCTGTAGTTAGTGTGGGTACACGCCCCCTCCCTTCCCTTTCTCCCGGTACCCCTCCTCGGATTCCTAGTCTTGAATAGTGAGTTTATCTCGCTGTTGATATTGTAGCAGCAGTAGCAGCATGTGGTGCTGCTGGCTTCCGTCAATACCACGCTGGGAAGGCCGCGACCGCAACCGACTGGCAAAGAGAGGCCATGCGCGATTATGCACGCGCTTCAAGGGGTCGGTCTGATGCGGGAAATATGGGATTCAGCAACGATCGATGGGCATCCCTTCCCGAGTGTTGCGCGTGAGTTGGCGATGGAACAGCGAGAGATGAAGCGGCGCTTCTTAGCTGCTGCACCGAGTGACCCCGTCATCCTCCTTCTTCATTCCACCTCAGCGGTCAGGTTAGTATAGCGTCGCATAAGAAAGGGAATCAAGAATGCATGTGCTGTAGTGTTGTGGGTAATTAGAAAGGCCAACTACCCCAGGACATCCGTTTTAGTCCATGACCGTCACACACTGCGAGATCGAGAGACGCGGGACCGAAAACTGATGACAGTCTTGGCAACGGGTATTTCCCCTTGCCCATCATGGCCGGGAGTTTGCGCGGGCGGCGGCGGTGTGTGGATCATTTCCGCGTACTTGTGTGCTGCTTTGCAGGTGCAGGACCATGCCCGCGACGGCGCGGAGACGTCATTCCTCCGGTGTTCTTGTGGCGAGCGTGAGCCGCGCCAAGTCGGCGTCGTTATGCCTCGGGGCTTGCTGAGCCTGCTGGTACCCCCTCTCCTCATGTTCTTCCTTCTGACGGCAAACACGGATATACCGGGGTTTGACCCCCATCTGGGAATCCCATTTGAGGATGGTAACGGTGACTGGATTCGGAGCCCACCTTTTGGAGAGTTGGCCGCCAGGCAGGTGGCTACAGCATTTCACACCGTCTCTCTGTCGGTCCGAAAACGGGCATCCTTAATCGGGTCCGATGAGCCGGAGGAAAAGACGAGCTGGAAGACCTGATAGAGGCCTTGCGCGGTCCCAGGAGAAGAACCCGACATTGAGTCAAGCATTTGCCAAGACGGCGGTGGAAGCGGGTAGGTCGGCAGCAGGCAGCAGGAGGGAGGCCTGTCATGCGGGTTCCTCCTTCGCGCTGGGATACTCGAGATGCGCCGTCGCTTCTTGCTGGTTGGGTCAGACAATGCGTTGTCTTTCTTCTCGCGCTCGCTTTTTGGGGGTGGGGGGTTGTATAAGATGTGACCCAGCTGGACCTGATGGGCGGTGCTTAAGTCTCGGTCGGCATTAGCTCTTCTCTAACCTGGCGCGCGTGATGGCGGCGGTTGGTTTGGTAACTTTGGTCTTGTTAGTGGGATCCAAGGGACGCGTGGCATGGACGAATCGCAGAGGAGAGTGGGCGGTGGGGAGAAGGAGAAAAGATAAAGCATTTGTGAGAGCGGTTGCTAAGTGTATCAGGTACTTTGGCTTTCTGAATGGGGGTTTCTTGCATGGCTGAGGTAACAGACCTTGCGTTGGTGCGTGGGACAAGCTGGACGCAGGCCACCTTATGCTGTTGGGATGTTGTGTGATGAAGACGGCATATCGTAGGGTGGCCGATGGGATGGGGAGGATGATGGGAATACAACGGATTTGCAGGAGCTGGTACTCTGCGGACCGTACATGAGGCAAGACATCCGCCGCAGGAGGAGCAATCTGCACTGGGTATGCCTGCCGTGCTGGCCGTGGCTTCGGTGTCCGCAAGGGCAAGTCGTGCCGTCAGACAAGGCAGACGGTGAGTTGGGAAGGGGCATCCGGCTATCGACCAGCCAACGGCGCACCAGCGCCGTCCTATGACGGAGCTTGACCGGTGTTCTTTCCCCGCAAGTGCCAGATGCTGTGTTCCGCGATCGCTGCGATGCCGCATGCTGGTATCCGTGGTCGATGTGTGCTGGGCAGGTGTTGTGGATGTCATATTTGATGCCTGCTCTACTCTGTTGATGCTGCCACATATGCCGTGCTTCGGGAGGGACTACATCCGGCTCGACCTTCGATTCGTGTAAGTCGCTGGATTTCTTGCTCACTCGAGACTACTTGTTCTACACCGTTCATTGCCTAGTGACGGACCTTCGGATCAAGTTGTTGCTGCTCGGCATGTTCAACCCGATAGCCCATGACTGATGCCCTGTTGTTGGGGAGGTATTCTGGACATGTCGAAATACGAGGTGGGAGTAAGCCCTATCGGTAGCCTGGTGAGCCCTGAAGTGTGATGAGCAAATCGCCAGTGACGCAAAAGGAAATCAAGTTCAATTCAGCAAGAGAGAATGTCTCTCCCTCCCGCCTCCTGAGACATCACTGGAAACATGGCAGGTGCCTAGCTGCGTGTGCTTTCCCATCGATCAGTGTGGCGTTTCAAGACTTGCAAGAGCAGCCCATGCCAGCCCAAGGTGTTCAGTTGAGGCGGGCAGGCAATTCATCAGGCAAGAGCGGTCTTCCAATGTGGTTGAACATCTTGGAATGTCCTGTGGAGAGCCGCTTAACGCTTTCTTCGTGACAACCATCTGCTGCCCAGCACTGGTTCGGGTCTGCAGAGAAGTGAAGATAGATGAATGAGTTATCGCCGACTAAAGAGAAACCAGTATATCAGAAGCTTATGGGACAGGCCTGGCAATTGTATCAAGGAGCACCCATTGTCATCTGCTTCTGGTCCGATAGCATGGCACTACCTGCGGGCGCTCAGTCAGTCAATGGGCTTGTCTCCAAAACGGTTATGGTGATGAGCTTCTTGACACAATCCTCTTTTGGAATGAAGACCAAGTTAAAGCACTTGACTATCTGGAGCATTTCTCACCCTTCAATTTGTCGCTTACAATTGCTGAGGGTTTGTACGGTTCAACACCTCTGCATATTTTGTACAGGTGCTTAGCACCCCAAACTTAACGCCCCTGACGAGAAGTCGGTATATCTCAAGTTTGAGTGCTGAAAAAGCGCAAACCATGCAATAAGGGCATCAAAGCTAGGTTATAGCGACCTACGCGATCAAGGCGAACCCACGCTTAGCAAGAGAAGAATACCATGCCGCTTGCTTGAAACAAATCACAGACTTCTAGACTCACAAACGACGAGCCAGCAAGTTCGAACTTACAAGCCAATGTCGTTGTATATACGTAAGATCCTCTTTCAATCCGAGTAACAACTCGTCCACGGAGCGTAATTAACTGAGACAGGCCGCTTCTGCATATCGTATACTCCAAGCGTGCTAGTCAACCCTCGCCAAACATCTACACAATGCTGGCTCTGTCTTCGCCCCACAGTAGAGAACTTGATCTCTTTCACGATCCTTTGAGTGAGTTCTGAAACCATGATGGCAGTGCTCATCTAGCATGCTCCTCCTCACGCATGTTCCTGAGTTGACCAAACGATCACAAAACTTCAACTTCATGTCGACTTCCTCCTACGGATACGGTCGTCAGTCCGACTCACACTTGACTTACGTGACTCTCTCAAACTTCAAGCCCCTGACAACATGGAAAACTTCCTAACAACTTGATAACAGTGAATACATTGTGTTCCTTCCAAAGACAGCGGATAATAAAAGGAAGACTACGCGTTCCGTAAGAGGGAAGGGGGGGACGGGTTTTCATGCGCCGCTCGTGTAAGTGGATGACCTCAAATAAACAGACTTTGAAGACTGACTTTACATGTCAACATTCAGCACATCTCAGGATAAACCATGAGTGGATATCGCTCTGGCTCATTTCAAAGATTTTCGAGTCTTGCCAATGAAGTCCCCTGGTCAACTCCAAGAACAAACGCTCAGATATGTGAATCTTCTCATGCAATCAGTACTGATGTTCCCCGAGGTATGTCCACATTAGTCGATTAGTATAGGCGTGCGGTACAATTGCCTGGAGAGAAACGATTTGACTTCTGCTCCACGGCCGGCTTCGACATGGTTTCCTGCCTTCCCGCGTCACCCCTGACTTTGATCTGCAACAATCGGAGGCCTTCAATGCGTTGATACTTTTGAATCTGCCGCCGGCCGAGACTTGGTGCCCTTAATGTGGTGTCCGAATGAGCCGCCAAAAGAGCGTATCGTCATCGTCAAGTGCTTGACCCGAGGGCATCGCCTCACATACCGACATGATGGTTTTCCCAGGACAGGAACTCGAGGGCATGCAGGTCTCCTCAGATATGGCTCCTCCGTCATCGTGTCTTACAGTCTGTTTCGGATCGAAACGCGGCATTATCTTCAAGCTTTCGCTCGGCGTGATAGGCATAAGATCACGGTGGCCACGGTTGCGTAAAGTAGCTGGTGAAGCCTTTTGTACTGGTCCAGGAGACGCCGAGGGCTGAGCATATCCAACATGTGCAGCTCGCTCGATTGTCTTCGAGGTCGTTGCAAAGCTCCTTGTTAATTGCCCTACCGTCCCTTTTAGCGTTCAGGTACTCGTGTATCTCGCAAACCGCCGAGACAGCTCAAAGGATAGAAGGTCTTCATGACCAGTGCCCTGACCCGGCAGCTTGGGGAAATAGCTCGAAATCAATAAATGATAGCTCAGAGGCCCCTGTCCTCAGTGTTTAATACATGAGGTATACTCTCTCAGCAGTAAAAAAGGGGAGAGAAACAGTGTGGATTCTCGAATTGAACTTAGGGCGCGTGGCTGATGATGGATTTCGGCTGCAAATTTTGAATAGGAGACAAGTGAATGCGAAGAGCTCAGTCTATGAGTTCAAGTAGTATTCAAATTCAGAAAGACTTTGCTGTGAAGACTAAAAGAAACCGACCCAAGGTTCTGGATTTTGTGTTCACGAGCCTATCTACCATTTAGGAGAAATACGAATCGACTTTTAACGGCATTAGGTCTAAGAAGCATATCGCTGCAGACGAACTAGAGACGGACAAAGCTCTTGACATGACTTCAACAAGTGTTCTGGTTCAATCGCCAACTTGCCTTGATTCGTTACCACATATAAGAAAGCTTGATTCGAAGAACGACAGACTATAGTTGACCGGCAACAGAACCGGACCAATTTGCTAGATATATCAAGAGTTTCAACGAAATTAGTGCGTACAATCGAGTTACTTCAGAGTACTTGAACAGCCTAGAGCCGGCTGCAGGTCTCAACTTCAACCAGCACTCTCCGTACGGTTCGTTTTTTTGTAGTTAATACGAAGCAGTATGGCATCATCCATGCAGGTGAGAGGCTATAAGGGGCTCAGAAGAGGTAGCAGGCACGGCGCTCGGGATACGCGCAGGAAGATCGAAGTCGTTGCTATGAAGTTCAGGGGCCGGCTGGTAAGTGGGTATTTAAACGTCTAAGTGCTGGGGTCGCTGGCTAAGGTGGCTCGCCAAGGTGTCTGCCTTTGCGGTGGGCTTCTTCACGAGTTGAATGGCTCGCTCATTGATGACCTGCTTCATCAATTGTTCGGCATGGACCATGAAGTAACGAAGTCGATTCTTCTGATTCATGCCTCGTCAGTCAGTTCAGTTCACGTAACTCGTTTTAATCACCGCCTGCCGATAGCCATCTCTCGTCGTACTATACAAGTACCGAATCGAATACTCTAAGGGGAGAGGAAGACCACCGGGGGTCTGAGGTTAACTATATAATGCCCGCCGTAGGTCTGAAGAGCACACATTATCACTAATCGAGAGGTTAGGGAAGCCAGAATGTTCTCTTAGGTAGTGTAGCTTCTGGACTCATGTTGGGCCCTAGGCTAAGTCACTTGTCGATTTGAGTGCCTTAAATAGAGGTATATTGGCGATGGATAATCAAGCGCTATAGACGAAGGAGGAAGGCACAGAGCTCCTTCCCGTTGTGCAACGGCAGATATCCAGAACCAACTCGCTGTTATGAGGCTCTTAATGCCATGAATGAAGCCGAGAGATTATAAGATCTAGGTCTCGGCCAACGGACGAGCAACATTCATGGGCGCTCGGTTGACTGGCAATATCGAAGAGACCTCGTGGCAGACCTCATCACGTAAGGAGTTTTATATCCCACCTCTGAGACCGTTGTCACGG